ACCCTGCCCCAATATTGCACGTGGATTGTGTGTGGGGCAGCCAACATATCTTTTAAATCTCTAGATAACAAGGAACCTATACGCTAAAGTTAAAGTGCCATATGAGATACAAGACTTGAAGTCTCATGGTGTGATTAGATGACACAGTGGGGGCTGCACTCAGAGGAGGGAGTGAATTCTGCTACTTAAGGGAAATGTAGCAATATTTGTAAACAGAGTTTCACTCTGGTTGATTCAGTCGTTTTTGATTGTTCTCTTGCCCGTCCCTGTAAAAAGGACACACTTTATGTCCCAAAGACATTGTGCTTGGGCTAAAACTGCCTTTGGAACGGGAGCTGAAGTGGTGGTGGCCATATCCAAATAGATACTTGAAGCCATGCATCCAAAGATGAGGATTCCTCTTCCCTCTGCTGTAAGAATGTGGTGCGTTTGGCTCCTAGATCCCAAAAGATGCATGAAACAAAGCTGTGGTCAACCGTTGTTATTTTACACATGAACGAGAAGTAAGTGCTCATGATTGCAAGCCAATGCAATACAACTTATTAAAGTTGACTAATACGTCTGCCATAAGTTCAATCTCTTCAGGGAATCATGAGCTTTGTTTTCAAGAAAAACAGGTATTTTCTCAGATTTTAAACATTAACACCTCATTTTGTCACATAGTCCAAGTTTCAGACCTCTCTGTCCAGATCACACAAGGGGAACCATTGGGCAGTGAGAAATTCTGTGTGATGTTCCCCATGAGTGTGGAGGCCCCACATGGGGTATTAGAGCCAGAGAGTTATGATGACAGAATGCAGCTGTTGGGGGCCAGTGGGGTGCGGAGTCTGAGTGAGGTGGGGAGGCACAGGGAGAGGACAACAGCCACTATGGGAGAGTGGTCACACACTGTGGAAGCATTAAGTCAGTGCATGTGTGAAGGATAATGAAAAATAGAACTTCACTCTTGGAGAATGGACTTCCACACAGTCCTCCTCAGCCTTGAAGCAACTTGCACGGAAGTGCAGTCGCCTTACGTCCCATGTCATGTCTCACAGGTGATCAAGGTGGGTTCTTTTATCCTGTATCTAAGCTTTATGTTCTGCATGTGGATGACTATGTGAAGTTGATGGAGTAGATTAATCTGCCGTCACACTTTGGAGTCTGTCTCTGAGAAGTGGAAACCTCCCACTAATAAACATGACCTCAAAAAGAAAAGGAGAAAAATGAACAGGCAGCTCCCATCCCTTTTCTTCTTACCCTACACAGGTCAAAGGGAGGCACAGCTGTGGCCCAGAGAGACCTCTCTGATGCACACCACATGCCCATCTCTCCTGGCATCCTCCAGACCCTCCCTCCACCAGCCTCTTCAGCTTAACTCTCAGAATCACAGGTGGTGCCTCGGCAGGCCTTTACTCAGAATGTGCTTAATCCAATTAGAGCATTCTGTCACATTAGAGAGCTCACATTGATTCTCTCCCTCTGAAGGCGTGCCCCATCCACAGAGAAACCATCTGGGACTCAGCCATGTTCCGGGAAGAATGTGGATGGCATGGGCATCCTTCCCATTTGGGGATCAAGCCGTCTCTTCTTTAGATGAGCTCCTTCAGTTTAATACATGCCTGTTTATCAAACTCCCATTTCCCTTCACTTCCTGTCACTATTACATATTATCTGAGTTTGCTCAGTCGCTTGATGTCTATTTATGTATAGTATCCCATGGCTCACCTATGGGACAGGGCATTGCAGGGACTGGGCTACTTACAGGGAACATAGCTTGGTCTATATCCACAGTGACAGCTTATGAGGAGAAAGGATAGGCAAGAAGAGAAAGCATTGCTGGCATCCTTGTCTGCTCTGTGCCAAGAGCCATCATGCTCCTGTTTCTTACTCCAGTCTTACTCTCATGCTCTCCGTGCATCTAAGAGGAGGATGCAGTGCCAAGAAAGCCTTCCAGCACACGAGGAAAATTCACACTCCTCAACTCTTTGCAGTTCAGCGCTGTCACATCTCCACAGCAGGCGAAACCCTCTTTTCTAAGATCAGCCACATGCAAACATGTGGGTATATATCAGGTGGTCTCATAAAACACGTCCTGGGTGTCACATTCAGAATGAAGCATCAGAAGATGAAAATGAGGAATGGGGCTGGTAGAACAGCTCCATTTTTTCCCTTTTTATTTCTCCCTTCAGTCAAATGTTCCTCCCTTATTCCATCAGATTTTAAAGTACCATTTATTAAATTACAATAACTACTCATTCGTTCTGACTCATAGTTCGCAAAATATCTGGTATTTATTCTATGCCATATTAGAACCCCCACAACACATACCAAATTATGCCACCCCAAAGTTCCATTTGTTTCCCTGGCAGGAGGGCACCATTTGTGGGAAGTAATGTTTATGATCGTTTCTTTGGTGACACTTCACATGTCACGTTAACACCCACAAGCTTAGAGAGAGGGAGCGCAGGCGAGAATTGGCAAGCAAACTAGCACTGCCACTCTCAACTGATTTGCAGAGGACGGGTGAAAAGAAGTCGCCACGGTACAGCAAGATTAGAAGACAGCCTTTCACACAGACTTCTGGACGCAGAGAAACTACTGATTGCTTCTTCCCACATAGTGATACACAGGCTGTTCTCCACCTGCTTCTTTTCACAAACAGAGATGGGCCTGACAACCCAAGAACCCCAATCTCAAATGTTAATGTTAATTTCTCTTTAAAATGAAAATACGAATTTTATTTGGTAGGTATGCAAATCTTAAATATACAGCTTGATAAAGTTTACTCAAGTGTACACCTATGTAATCAGCCACTTCAATAGAGTATTTTCAATGTTTGGGAAGGTTCCTCAGTGCCTAGTCTAGTGGCCCTGTAGAGTTAATCATTATTCTAACTTTATCACCATATATTTGTTTTGAATGTTTTTGAACTTTCCATCAATGCAATCCACTTTATGTCTATGAGATTAATACAGACTATTACACATATTTATAGTTTTGTTTTTCATTTTCATTGCTGTATATTATGTTGTGTGACTACAGCACTATGTATCGTCGCCTTGTACTTCTGACACATAGCAGAATTCTTTCGAACTTTTAGCATTATGAATGAAGTTATAACACTGCTGTTAAGTATATTTTGGTGAACATATATAACTGTTTCCCTTGGTATATTCTCAGTATAGAATCTGTTGAGTCATTGGGTATGTCTATGTTTAGTAGCTACTACTGAACACTTTCCCGAAGCAGTTGTACCACTTTCACTCCCACCAGCACTATATGAGAGTCCAATTTCCTTCATAATTGGCACTGTCAATCCCTTTAAGTTTAGTGATTCAGGTGGGTATATATCAATATTTCACAGTCTAATTTTGCCTTTCCATGATGAATAATAGCATTGAGAATGTTTTCATGTTTGTGGGCCATTTTAACGTGACCATTTTTAAGTTGCTAAGTAAGTCTTTTGACCATTTTAAATATGAATGCCTGCCTTTTTCTTACTGATTTGAAGTTCTGCCTACAATCCTTTGTGGGATACAGTTTTCACTTTTAACAAAGTCCAAATTATCAATCTTTTAAAAATAATTGCTGCTTTACAATATTATTGAATAAATATATTTGTACCCCAAAGTCATAGAGATAACCTACTTTTAATTTCTGCTAGAAGGTTAATTGTTTTAGCTTTCATATTTAGGTCCCAATGCCATTGCAGATTATGTATTGTATACAGAGTGAACTGGAAAAAGCAAAAATAATGGGGTTTTATTTGCCTATTTTGAGTTGATGTATAAAGAAATTCTTTAGTATAACATTTTTGGCTTATTTACCAGGCAGACATTGTTGAAATTAGGGCAGAAATAAGACTTGAAGCAAACCAAAACACTTCGCTTCAAAAACTCCAGCAGGTTCTCAAAGTATCTCAGAGAGACCCACACCCAGCTCTGTTCGGGGAGAGGAATGCAACTGCTGTGAAACATAACCAGAAAAACCTACACTTCATCCTTTCTGTTTCACCTAAAGAAAAAGCAAAACAAAACAAAAACCACAGACAATACGGGATTCAAGGAAAGAAATTCAGAGTGTTGCAGCCAGTAAGGGGAATCGAAATCAGGCATAGAGGAGAAACCTATCTTACCAGAAGGAGAGTAAGAAACGTTTTATGAGGGACACGGCCTCAAATGCAGGGAAATCAAAAAAGCCTGAGATTTACTCAGAATATTTTACAATGTTACCCTCTTCTTCAGACCTTATGATCACACAAAGGCAGCACCAAGATAATAAAATAAATTACAGCTGAAACAGCTGCAAGATACAAAATAGCTCTAAGTGGTAGAACACAGGAAGGAATCTCTGAAAATAAAAGGGGAGACAAAAAAAAGGCCACCAAAATTTTTTTGAAGTCTTTGGTACTTTTAGCTTCAGCAAATATTAAACAAATCACAACTCCTGGCCAGATGAACACAAATCCTCACATTTAAAATCCTAGTTACCTCGGTTACCATTGGCTGATATAATATGCTTAGCTTTGGGCCAGGCGCGGGGGCTCATGCCTGTAATCCCAGCACTTTAGGAGGCCAAGGCGGGTGGATCACGAGGTCAAGAGATCAAGACCATCCTGGTCAACATGGTGAAACCCCGTCTCTACTAAAAATACAAAAAATTTTTTGTATTTTTAATCCCAGCTACTCAGGAGGCTGAGGCAGGAGAATTGCCTGAACCCAGGAGGCGGAGGTTGCGGTGAGCCCAGATCATGCCATTGCACTCCAGCCTGGGTAACAAGAGCCAAACTCCGTCTCAAAAAAAAAAAAAAAAGACAGCTATGATTAATATGTTAATGCCCCAATGAAAAAAGTAGACAACATTCAAAAACAGATGGTAATAGAAGCAGAGATAAAAAATGTGAGAAATACCAAACACTGTAACAGAAATTAATAAAAGATCTCTTTGATAAACTTTTGACATAGCTGAGGAACGAATCAGTGAACTGGATAAGTAAATAGAAACCTTACAATTGGTGCTTGCTTTAGCAGAATATACACTAAAATTGGAAGGTACACAGAAGGGTAGCACGGCCCCTGCACAAAGGTGTCAGGCAAATTTGGGAAGCATTCCATATTTTTCAAGTTGGATAAAAAATAAGACATCTTGTTTTCCAGAGATCCATTTTACACATAACAATATTCATAGAGTCAAAGTAAAGATCAATAATACAAACAGCAAAAAAGAGCAGGGGTCAGTATTATCAGGTCAGATAACTTCTTTTTAAACCAACAACAATAAAAAAGGACAAAGAAAGGCACTGTATAACAAAGGGTTCAACTCAACAAGGTGACTTAACTATCTTAAACATATATGTAACTCAGCATTGAAGCACCCAGATTCATAAAATAAGTACTTCTAGACATTAAAAAAAGGCCTAGGCCACCATGCAATAATAGTAGGGGACTTCAACACCCCACTGCCAGTATTAGACGGATTATTGAGGTAGAAACTAACAAAGAAATTCTGAACTTAAATTTGACACAACCAATTGGACCTATAAACCAATAAACAGCTACAGAACACTCCACCCATCAACCACAGAATATACATTCTTCTCATCTGTACATGGAACATACTCTAATATTGACCATGTGCTCAGCCATAAAGCAAGTGCAAGTAAGTTTTTTAAAAATTGAAATCATACCAATGGTACTTTCAGGTCACAGTTAAATAAAAATATAAATCAGCACCAAGAATATATCTCAAAACCACCCCTTTGACAAAATTTAGCAGCCCTTTAGGCTAAAAACCCTCAATAAACTCGGTATTGATGGAATGTATCTCAAAATAATAAAAGCTATTTATGACAAACCAACAGCCAATATCATACTGAATGGGCAAAAACTGGAAGCATTCCCTTTGAAATCTGGCACTAGACAAGGATGCCCTCTCTCACCACTCCTATTCAATATAGTACTGGAAGTTCTAGCCAGAGCAATCAGGCAAGAAAAAGAAATGAAGGGTATTCAAATAGAAAAGGAAGTAGCCAAATTGTCTCTATTTGCAGACGACATGATAGTATATCTAGAAGACCCCATCGTCTCAGCCCAAAAACTCCTGAAACTGATAAGCAACGTCATCAAAGTCTCAGGATACAAAATCAATGTGCAAAAATCACAAACATTCCTATACACCAATAACAGACTTAAAAAGAACCAAATCAAGAATGAACTGCCATTCACAATTGCTACAAAAAGAATAAAATACCTAGGAATACAACTCACAAGGAACGTAAAGGACCTCTTCAAGGAGAACTACAAACCACTGCTCAACGAAATAAGAGAGGACACAAACAGATGGAGAAACATTCCATGTTCGTGGTTAGGAAGAATCAATATCGTGAAAATGGCCATACTGCCCAAAGTAATATACAGATTCAACACTGTCCCCATCAAGCTACCAATGACCTTCTTCACAGAACTGGAAAAAACCACCTTAAACTTCATATGGAACCAAACAAGAGCCCACATAGCCAAGTCAATTCTAAGCAAAAAGAACACAACAGGAGGCATCACGCTACTGGACTTCAAACTATACTACAAGGCTACAGTAATCAAAACAGCATGGTACTGGTACCAAAACAGAGATATAGACCAATGGAACAGAACAGAGGTATCAGAGGCAACACAACATATCTACAACCATACAATCTTGGATAAACCTGACAAAAACAAGCAATGGGGGGCTAGCCATGTGCAGAAAGCAGAAACTGAACCCCTTCCTGACACCTTACACTAAAATTAACTCCAGATGGATTAAAGACTTAAACATAAGACCTGGCACCATAAAAACCCTAGAAGAAAATCTAGGCAAAACCATTCAGGACATAGGAGAAGGCAAGGACTTCATGACCAAAACACCAAAAGCATTGGCAACAAAAGCCAAAGTAGACAAACTGGACCTAATAAAACTCCACAGCTTCAGCACAGCAAAAGAAACAGTCATTAGAGTGAATCGGCAACTAACAGAATGGGAAAAAATTTTTGCAGTTTACCCAAATAACAAAGGGCTGATATCCAGAATTTATAAAGAACTAAAACAGATTTACAAGAAAAAACAAACAAGCCCATTCAAAAATGGGCAAAGAATATGAACAGATACTTTACAAAAGAAGACACATACATGAGGCCAACAAACATATGAAAAAATGCTCATCATCACTTGTCATCAGAGAAATGCAAATCAAAACCACATTGAGATACCATCTCATGCCAGTTAGAATGGTGATCATTAAAAAATCTGGAGACAACAGAGAGGATGTGGAGAAATAACACTTTTACACTGCTGGTGGGAGTGTAAATTAGTTCAACAATTGTAGAAGACAGTGTGGCGATTCCTCAAGCACCTAGAAATAGAAATTCCATTTGACCCAGCGATCCCATTACTGGGTATATATCCAAAGGACTATACATCGTTCTACTATAAGGACACATGCACACGAATGTTCATTGCAGCACTGTTTACAATAGCAAAGACCTGGAACCAACCCACATGCCCATCGATGATAGACTGGACTGGGAAAATGTGGCACATATACAGCATGGAATATTATGCAGCAATCAAAAACAATGAGTTCATGTCCTTTGTGGGGACATGGATGAATCTGGAGAACGTCATTCTCAGCAAACTGACACAAGAACAGAAAATGAAATACCGCATGTTCTCACTCATAGGAGGGTGATGAAAAATGAGAACACATGGATACAGGGAGGGGAGTACTACACACTGGGGTCTATTGGGGGAATAGGGGAGGGACAGCGTGGGGGGGGACCTGGGGAGGGATAGCATGGGGAGAAATACCAGATGTGGGTGAAGGGGAGGAAGGCAGTAAATCACACTGCCACATGTGTACTTATGCAACTATCTTGTATGTTCTGCACATGGACCCCAAAATCTAAAATGCAATAAATAAATAAAACTACACAATTACATGGAAATTAAATAACTTGCTCCTGAATGATTTTTGAGTAAACAAGGAAATGAAGGCCAAAATTTAAAAATTCTTTAACATAAATGAAAACAAAACAAAACATAGCAAAATATGTGAGATGCATCCAAAGTAGTGTTAAGAGGAAAAGTTTATAATGCTAAATGCCTAAATCAAAAAATTAGAAAGATCTGAAATTAATAATCTAATATTGCACCTACAGGAACTAAAAAAAGGTAACAAACTAACCCCAAAGTTAATAGAAAAAAAAAGTAATCAGAGCAGAACTGAATGAAATCAAGACCCAAAAACCCATACAAAGGATCAACAAAACCGAAAGCTTGTTCTTTGAAAGGATAAACAAGATAAATAGACCAGTAGCAAGATTAACAAAGAAAAAAAATGGAGAAGATAAAATAAGCACAATCAGAAACAACAGAGGTAACGTGACACCCGATCCACAGCAATACAAAAAAAATCATCTGCAACGATTATGAATACCTCTATGTACACAAACTAGAAAACCTACAGAAAAATAGATAAATTCTTGGAAACATACAGCTTCCCAAGACAGAATCACAAAGAAAATGAAACCTTAAACATATCAATAATGAGTTCTGAAACTGTATCAGTAATTCAAAACACACCAGCAAAGAAAAGCCCTGGACCAAATGGGCTCATAGCCAAAGTTTACTAGACAGAGAAAGAAGAATTAATACGACTCCTACTGAAACTATTCCAAAAAACTGAGTAAGAGGGACTTCTCCCTAAATCATTCTATGAAGCCAGCATCACTCTGATCCCAAAATCTAAATCTGACAAAGAAACAGCAACAACAAAAGAAAACTACAGGGCAATATCCTTGATGGAGATAGATGCAAAAATACCCAACAAAATAGTAGCAAAATCAATCCAGCAGCACAGCAAAAAGTTAATTCACCAAGACCAAATTGACTTTATTTCCCGTAAACGGGGCTTGTTGAACATGTACAAATCAATAAATGTGATTCACCACATAAACAGAATTTTTTTAAAAATGTGATCATCTCAATAGAAACATTTTTCAATAAAACTAGTTTCCTTCCACAATAGAAACCCTCAACAAACTAGACATCAAAGAGACATACCTCAAAATAATTACTGCCATCTCAGGCAAACCCACAGCCAACATCATACTGAATGGGCAAAAGCTGGAAGCGTTAACCTTGAGAACTGGAACAAGATAATAAGGACGCCCACTCTCACCACTCCTAGTCAACATAGTACTGGAAGTCCTGGCCAGAGCAACCAGGCAGGAGAAATAAATAAAAGGCATCTAAATAGAGAGGAAACCAAACTATCTCTCTTTGTTGGTAATAGGATTCTATACCTAGAAAACCCTAAAGACTCCCCCAGAAGGCTCCTAGAGCTGATAAGAAACTTCAGTAAAGTTTAAGGATACAAAATAAATATACAAAAACAAGTAGCATTTCTGTACAGCAATAACATTCAAATGAAAGCCAATACAGGAATTCAATCCTATTTACAATAGCCACACACAAACAAATACTTTGGAATATATCTAATCAAGGAGGTAAAGGATATCTACAAGGACAACTACAAAACACTGATGAAAAAAATCATAGATGACACAAACCAATGAAAAACGTTCGACACTCACAGTTCAGATGAGTTAGTATCTTTAACATGGCCATATGTCCCAAAGCAATCTACAGAGTCAATGCTATTCCTATCAAACTATCAACATCATTTTTACAGAAATAGAAAAAAAAGTGTATTCGTTTGTTTTCCTGCTACTGATAAATAAATACCTAAGACTGGGCAATTTATAAAAGAAAGAGATTTACTGGACTTACAGTTCCACATGGCTTCTGCCACAATCATGGCAGAAGGCAAGGAGGAGAAAGTCACATCTTACATGGATGGCAGCAGGCAAAAAGAGAGCTTGCACAGGGCAACTCCTGTTTTTAAAATCAACAGATCTCACTATCATGAGAATAGCACAGGAAGGAGCCACCCCCATAATTCAGTCATCTCCCACCTGCAACACATGGGACTTATGGAAGTTACAAGCTATTTGAGTGTGGACACAGAGTCAAACAAAAGTATTCTAAAATTCATATGTAACCAAAAAGAACCCAAATAACCAAA